CCCAGCTCTTTAATTCTGCATTTCCCAAGATGTTATCTTTGTACATTTAACATTCTTAACACTAGTCAGATAGTGTTTCCTTTCCTTTTGTGAAGTAACACCATTGCTTTTTCTCACTTCAGTTTATCCTCTTTTCTGCATTACTTCCTCTCAGTTTATTCACATCACTATTTTGTACCACAAGTATGATTCTCATGTCTGTTCTTAGCCACTGCTCTTGAATATCATACAGTCACTTCAGGCTTGGACAAATTCTGAGCCTCAGTGTATTCATATATAAAGCTGGGGTAATGATCATATTGCCATTTTAGGGGGATTGTGAGGATTAAATGAAATCTGTAATTAAGCCTTCAATAAATGCTAGATGAAGTAATAATTAAGATCTCACAATTAAGTATTCTTAGTATCCTTTCAAAGAAATTACCTGTTTACTCTTTACATCATCCATTGACTTTCCTACGTTCTAGAAGTCTTAAATACAAAGTCAACATGGAGACTTATTTACAACCTCATTAATAAATTAGTGTTTGTTTCTGTTTCTGTGTGGTATCTTTTTCTCAGGTTTTGAAAGTTGTAGTAATGGTGTAATATCGAATAAAGCACATCAATCATATTGCCATAGTAATAAACACCAGTCATCCAATTTGAATGTACCAGAACTTAACAGTATAAATATGTCAAGATCACAGCAAGTTAATAACTTCACCAGGTAAGTAATTTCACTAATTTTTGCATTAATATAAGCAACCTAGTTATAAGTGTAATCATTGTAATAATGTTGAAAGAACTTGAATTACATGACCCACAAAGGGGCTCTGGGAGTTCCTAAGCCCTCAGAAAATAAAAGGGTAGGGAGTCAGTTCCTCAAAGGTTTTTAGTCTCCTGCTCTGCGAATGAGCTCTTTCCTTAGTTTCTTCCTCTTCTCTACTACCCTTTTCCCTCTAGTAATGTTTTAAGGACAAATTCAGGACTCCATGCATTGTCTTCCTGCCAGCCACAGAGCTATACAGATGATCACATAAATGCCATTTGTTAGGTTTTCACAGTACTTAAGACACAGTAGTATATTTAACCTTGAATGGTAACATAAGATAAATTTACAACTAATTTTTTTCTGTGTGTTTTTTTGGTGTAAATGTGTAGAGTGTTTTTTAAGTTCAGAATAACTAACTTTACAAAGAATCATTTTTGAAAGCATGTCTTTAAGTAGCTAGCATATAGCAGATGTTTAAGTCATTTAGTAAACAATGTGAGGATAGTTTTGAGGATTTGTTGGGGACCAAACACTATGCCTAGGTAGTGTATCTGATTTCAGAGAGCTTTGCAAGAAGATGTATCTCAGTCAGTGTACTATGACCCTTGACATACTCACGTTTAATATTTATGAAACCTAAAATTTTATGAAGTGAAATTATTTGAATTGAATACTACTGTGCAGAAGCAAATTCCTGTGAATTCACCCTGCCCAAATCATCTGGAACTGAATTAATTTAATATTGGTTTTGGCTCTAACAAACCAGTTGGTTACACCGCATTTTCAGGAAATGGCCATCATTGCAACATTTTCTTCTTAAAGGAGAGAGAGCCTAAATTTTAGCATGGAATCTTAATGGAAATATGATTATGGAGAAAGGAGTCTATGTTAAAAAAATCTGTATTTAAAAATTTGGAGATTAAAATTTCTGGGTTATCTGTCACACATGACAAAAATTTACTGAAGTAATGGTGTGTGTGATTGATACAACTTATAATGGAGAACCACAAAAGTGTATGAGAACGGCAGACAAATAATCTTTCACAGCAGAGAGGAATATATTGGAAAATATAAAATCAAAATATTATAGTTTAAAAATATATGGAAATTTAAAAAGTACTTCATCATGCTTTGTAATAATGTACATTGGTACTTTATCATTGATCGAGGGTTCTGCTATTGTTTGAGGGTGAGATTGCAGGCAGTTTGTGAGTTTTTCTCTTAAATACTGTTCCCGCAGCAGGAAGTTGCTAAACAACTCTATTATGACCTGAGTGGAGGGAAGCAAGCTTAACTGAAGGGTTTGATGACACAGTATCCCCCTTTGTCTGGCGTATAAAATGGAAAGAAAGTAAACTTTTGAACTGCTTTAAACTATGTCATTTTGTAGTTGGTAATGGCATTCTTTACAACAGTACTGTGAAGTAGGCAAAGATGGTATTAACTATTTCAACCATTTTGCAGATGTAGAGCCAGATGTCAGAAAAGTAAATGACGTTTTTTCCTTAAGGTCAATTAATAGTAGCTAGTAAGTTGCAGAGCTGAGGCTGATTTTCAGGATTTGACTTGCAAACTTGTGCTTTTTCCCTAATACCACCCACTATCTGAAATGCTTATCTTCCTGCCCTCCCTTGCCTCCAGTATAACTTCTGTCCAGGCTGAGAAAATTCAAGTTCAGATGTCAGTTCTTCCAGGATGTTTTCCTTGATTTACATTCGCATCAAATGTGTCATGTTTTGTGATTAACTTTCCTCTTAGTACTGGTCATAATTACTCTGTAATATAATAATTTCATTAGCTTTTTGTAGGTTGTTTGCTACAGGGAGGCAGAGGCTGTTTCATAATTTCTTTCGCACCTAACAGGGATAATACCTCAGACGCTCTTTAATGTGTGTTAAATGAATGAGTGCCTTTCAAATACTAAATTGAGTTATTAAAAAAAAAAGTTTAGTATTTTTTAGAAGACCACTGAAAGCTGTGATGGTAAGGATTTTCTTTTTTTTAAAGTTTGGTTTTTCTTACCAATTTTTGAAGTTTGTCAAGATTATAAACAAGCTTTCCTGATTGAATAAGTCTTCTCTGGAGTCCTAGGGCCATCCATATCCCCCTTTTCCCTAGATCGTTCATGTTTTTTTACCTTAACGATTTTACTAACAGGAATGTATGCATGCACACACACACACACACACACACCCAAGGTGTTAGAATTTGTTACCTCTGCCGATATTACACATAGTGGGTTTTGCTCCTCTGTATTTTTTTTTTTTCCACAAATGAATATATATTGCTTTTGTAATAAGAAATGTCTTTTTTATCTAAGCATTTCCTAAATTTTCATCAAGTATTTATTTCTAGATTATATAATTATTACCTAGATCTTCATAGGAGAAATCCTAAAGATTAGATATTTATTATTACTTGTAAGAGTGCGGATGGGTCTGAAGGACATACATTGATAGCTTAAATATGTCCAAGTACAGTTATTGACACACAGCTATTCATTGAGTGTGGAATAAGTGAAAACTGGAAACTAAGACATCAGTTTAAAAATTAAAATTCATTAGCCGGGCGTGGTGGTACGTGCCTGTAGTCCCAGCTACTTGGGAGGCTGAGGCAGGAGAATCGCTTGAATCCAGGAGGCAGAGGTTGCAGTGAGTTGAGACTGTACCACTGCACTTCAGCCTGGGTGACAGAGCAAGACTCCATCTCAGAAAAAGAATGAAAAAGATAAAAATTAAGATTCAGCAATACTTAAGCCAGTAAGATAGACTATGAGAGAAAAAAAGGGCCATGTGGTAAAAAGGGATGAAAGAATGAAATGGAGTGGTTTTTAAGTTATAACTTAACCTTGAAAGAGTGTATATTTTTAAATATTGAAGACAAATGCCAGAATGCCGACTATTTAAAAATAGCCTAGAAGTGGTTGAGTATGAGGTCCGGAACAAGGTGAAGTGGGTTCCAGGAGTGAGATGTATTTGTTTTGAGAGTGAGTCTAAAAATTAATAGGATTATGTGGAACTATGATTTCTCCATATTAATGTAGAGTCATAAACCCACTACATTTTAGCATATGTACTTTTTTTCTTCCCTTACCTCCAGGGGTAAAAATGTGTTAAAAGTTAGCTACGTGTTTGGCTTTGAATACCTTCAAGATTTAACTAAATACCTTTTTTTTTTTTTTGCAGATTTCTATTGCCTTATGAAGTTAGTTTATTCGTAGGCTATATAGTTCAGTAGTGATTTATTTTAAACTAAGCTGCAAATATGATATTTCTAAAATTAGGTTTGTTTTTCGTTTTCAGTAATGATGTAGACATGGAAACAGATCACTACTCCAATGGAGTTGGAGAAACTTCATCCAATGGTTTCCTAAATGGTAGCTCTAAACATGACCACGAAATGGAAGATTGTGACACCGAAATGGGTCTGCAGTGATATTTCTTACATTTTTAATAAAAAATGATGGCTACAAGGTTATGTTTTTACTTGTACTGATTCACAGCTGATGACCATAAACGAGATTTAAAGATGTATGTGCTGTAGGACTTGACAGTAATGCATAGCACTTAAACTCTCTTGTTTGAGTGGGCTGCTAGAGAAAGCAGAGTTACCTTTCAGCTACAGGTAGTGTTCTTCGATGAATTGCTTAGGCTCAGGTTTAGTGCTGTCACTAATGCAGCAGTACTGACTTACTGATGTTGAGCCTCTAGGCTGTTTTAGGTTGGGAATGAGAAAACTTATTATATTTCAGTATGGTCAGTAAGGCCAAACGGGCAGATGATTTTACAAATTCTTGTTTTGGAGATGGAGTCTCATGCTGTTGCCAGGCTGGAGTGCGGTGGCACCATCTTGGCTCACTGCAACTTCTGCTTCCCAGGTTCAAGCGATTGTCCTGCTTCAGCCTTCCGAGTAGCTGGGACTGCAGGAACACGCCACCACGTCTGGCTAATTTTTTGTATTTTAGTGGATACACGGTTTCACCATGTTGCCCCGGCTGGTCTCAAACTCCTGAGCTCAGGCAATCTGCCCACCTCAGCCTCCCAAAGTGCTAGGATTACAGGCGTGAGCCACCGTACCTGGCCTACAAATTCTAATCAGTATTTCTTAAATGGGTTTAATGTAAACATATCTGACTATGCATAGTACTATCCCTGGTATATAGTAGGTGCTTAAGTATGACCTCCCTCACCAAAAAAAAAAAAAAAAAAAAAACACCACCAACAAAATTATGTGGCTGAAAGACAAATTAGCGTGCATAATTTTATTTTGTAGACAACTTGTATTGTAAATTGTCCCATTAGCGAACTATCCCATCAAATGGAGAATGAAAATTACAGATTATTTATTTGTTGGAATTCCATGGCAGCATTAGATTTCTTATTATTTTGAGATGGAGCGGTATTAATAAAATTATTTTTAAAAAAGAAATACAGCTTTGTTTTACTCTTCAGTATCAGCCATCTCAGTTTCCAAAGGGTGATTTAAGTATAGTGATAAAGAGCAGGAGTTCTAGAGCCAGATTACCTAGAGTTGATTTCTGCAACTGCCATTACTAGCTTTGTGACCTTGGAAAAATTACTTAACTACTCTGTGTATGTTTCTTCATCTGTAAAATGGATATAATAATAACAACTTCCTAAGTTATTGTGCAAAGAAAATGAATAATATGAAAAGCTAATAGCACAAACTGCTTGGGAAATACCATCATCATCACCATTACCTGCTTCATTATTCATGATTTATATATTATTAGCAATTTATACAGTTAAATTATTTGGTTGTCAATCAAGACATATAAAACTATTTTCTCAAAGTGGTATTTTTCTAAAAGCAATGCATTTAATTTTTTCTGTTAGTATAATATGCTGTCTTCTGTATTTTTATTGTAGTCATTTAGCTTCTCTTAGCTTTCAGGAACATTTTTTACCTCTATTATGTCAGTTAAGGCAGCCTGAGAGGCATTATTAACTTTTTTTAATGTTGCTTAATACAGTTTTAGGGAATTACACTTTTTCTAAAATTTTTTCTGACATAAGTATACTCTAACACTGAAAGGTTGTCCTCCCTCAACTTCATGCTAAATACTGGATCCTAGACTCTTGAGTGCTAAATAAAGCATATTTTTTAGCTGCAGTTTCATATTAAATTGAAAATGAATTTTTAATAATCTGCGCATTTAGATGAAATACTAGGGAATAGTTACTAAATGTACAAAATGTTATAAGAAATATGTGTTCATGTCTTCATTATACTACATTCCATAAGGTGGTAGAATACTTGTCTGTTTTTCTTACAGAAGTTGATTCGAGTCAGTTGAGACGTCAGTTGTGTGGAGGAAGTCAGGCCGCCATAGAAAGAATGATCCACTTTGGACGAGAGCTGCAAGCAATGAGTGAACAGCTAAGGAGAGACTGTGGCAAGAACACTGCAAATAAAAAAATGTTGAAGGTGAATATATTTTTTGTTGAAAAATTATAAATGCGTCAAAGGAACTAAAATGTAGTTTTGTGAAACATTGGGCACTGTCCTAGAAATTCTTGTTAGGGAACTTGGACCTGACCTTCCCCTTGGCTCCTTTGCCCATTTGAGAGTAGAAATGTTTGATGAAGTTAGGCAGTTCTGATGTACTGGAAAGAGAATTGGACTAAAAAAAAAAAAAAAAAAAAAAGATTAAATCCCAGTACCACTGCTGTCAACATTGTGTGTCCTCGTTAACTTAGTTTAATTCTTAGTTTTATTTTCTCAGCTGTAAAATCAGCAGTTACTAGAAGAAATGTGGGTGTGCAGAGAAAACTATAAATTTGAAATACTATTTTAGTAAATATTGTTCATGGTTATAGCAATTTGGATGTATAACACATGGTTCTTATTTTGATGGGGATTAGTGAAAAATTGGGTCACTTTTTGTGACCAGAATAGTTAAAATACATTTTAAAGTCTCTTCTGGATTGTCCATGAGCTAGTAGGATGGAAACAATTTAATTCAGTAAAGTAGCCACAGTTTTGTGTACCAGTTGAAGGTGGAGGGGCTTTCTCCTAACTGAAGTCAGCATTGCAGTTGTAGAGATGTACAGCTCTTTAACTGTTGGTTCATTATAAACATTTTCTTCTGAATATTTTGGAAGAAGACTGAAGAGTTAAAGGGGAGATGAATGTAGTGGTCTTGAGACTGATGTTTGGGTATGGTAGGAAAGGGCAAAAGATGATATGCTCATTGGAACATTTTGGATTTTTAGATTAGAGATGCTCAATTAGTGAATATTTTTAAATTTGAAAAAATATGAAATCTGAAACAGCACAAGTGTAGGATATAACATACTTGCCTGGCCTAGGATGGGCAATAGAGCCGCCTACAACACACCTCAAGTTAAAGGCATGCAATCTTGTATTTCCCAGCTGAGATGGGAAGACAGGTGTATTTATCATACTTCGTACTTCATCTACTTGATAGTATAAAGATTGCTATTTCTAGTGGTTACCCTGAGCTATCAAAAAAGTTAAATTATTTTTAGGCTAGATAAAAAATAGTTAGTGGATTTTGTAATTGAAAAAGTCAAATCAGACAATATATCTGGAAAATGACTATCCACATTTGCCCTAGAATATTAAGATTTTCATGAAGTCAGACTGTCTTATAACTCCTCCCCTTTTTCATTTTTTTTTATTTTTTATTTTTAAACTTTTTGTAGAGATGAGGTCTCAGTGTATTGCTGAGTCTGGTCTTGAACTTCTGGGCTCAAGCAGTCTTTCTGCTTTGGCCTCTGAAAGTGCCAGGATTATAGGCATGAGCCACCATGCCCAGCCTAATTCTTCCCCTTGTAAATATTTATCTTTGTTGTTGTTGTGTTGTGTGTGTGGTTTTATTATTTGGAGATGGCATCTCACTCTGCCGCCCAGGTTGGAGTGCAGTGGTGTGATCTCAGCTGCAGCCTCCACTTCCTGGGTTCAAGCGATTACCCTGCCTCAGCCTCCCGAATAGCCGGGACTATAAGCAGACATAATGACGTCCAGCTAAGTTTTGTATTTTTAGTAGAGACAGGGTTTCACCATATTGGCCAGGCTGCTCTCAAACTCCTGACTTCGTGATCCTGCCCGCCTCGGCCTCCGAAATGCTGGAATTAAAGGCATGAGCCACTGAGCCCAGCCTTAAATATTTATCTTAATGACTATGCCTCCACTGTGTAGCACCAAGGTAGTCAATATATGTTTATTAAATTGAAGTAGAATTTATTTGAAAAGTGTAACAGATTTTTCCACATTAGGGATTTTCATTACCATGCAACTTTGTAGAACTTTTTCTGGTACTAGGAGTGCTAAGAAAAAACTTAACATTTAGGCTCTTTATTCAAGTTATTTTCGGTGTCTAAAATTATCCATTTGGAAAACTGAATACTTCTTTGGTAGGTACTGAGGATGTTTTAGGGCTGTTTTCAACATATTTGGTGTCTGACTCCTTTAAAAATTATTAAAGATTCCCAAAAAGTTTTTGTTTATATGTGTTACATCTATCGATATTTACTATATTAAAATTAAAGTATTAATTCATTTTAAAATAACAAATCCATTAAGTAAGTAACATAAGTTATTTTTATGAAAAATAACTATCTTCCCCAAGCAAAAACAAAACAAAACAAAAAAAAAGCGAGCTGGTGCAGTGTAGCTGCATGATGCCTCTAATCCCAGCTACTCAGGAGGCTGAGGCAGGAGAATCGAGCCCAGGAGTTCAGGTTCAGCCTGTGCAATATAGTGAGACCTTGTCTTTTTAAAAAAAAAAAAAAAAAAAAAAATTGGAAGAGTGGCACTGCTTTATACTTTTTTGTAAGTCTTTTTAATGCCTGGTTTAATAGGTGAGCTGTATTAACATACAGACCAGACTGCATTCAGGCTGTTGTGATATCACATGTCACGTATCTCTGGAAAACTCCACTGTATAGTCATGAGGAAATGAAAGAGAAAAGGGCAAGGAACATCTTGGTACTACTATTATAAAAATAATTTGGGGCTGGGTGTGGTGGCTCATGCTTGTAATCCCAGCACTTTGGGAGGCCAAGGCAGGCGGATCACCAGATCAGGAGTTTGAGACCAGCCTGGCCAACATGGCAAAACCCTATCTCTACTAAAAAATAAAAAAAATTAGCTGGGTATGGTGGCACGTGCCTGTAATCCCAGCTACTCAGGAGGCTGAGGCAGTAGAATCGCTTGAACACAGGAGGCGGAGGTTGTAGTGAGCCAAAATTGTGCCACTACACTCCAGCCTGGGCGACAGAGTGAGACAATGTCTCAAAAAAAAAAAAAAAAGTTTTGACTTCACAGACCCCCTCAAAGGTTCTTGGACACAGGTGTCCTCAAACCATAATTTGAGCACTTTGTTTAGGGCATATTTGGGAATGTGAATTTTTTTTTTTTAAGAATTCTTAGAGTTTTTTACACTAGGTCATCTGACTTGGTTTTCTTGTTAAAACTTTATGCTAATTAAGCAAGATGAAGAAAGATTTGATTTATGTAGTTCCTTTGAAAATTTAAGATTATACTCTATTAGCTTACTTTGTGTTTGATTCTTATTTACATGAAGCTCAGAAGATGGCATTATATGGCCAGTTCTCAAAGATATTCCTTGGTGTTACATACTAAATTGTGTAAAGATGTATCATCTTCATCTAAAGAGTATAGATGGCTTTGATTTTGCACCTCTAACTTCTGAGAAAATGCCAGCTACTTTCAGAGACTTTCTTAGTATTCCGAGCTGCTTCTATTCTCATTTCTCAAACTTAATCTAGATAAGGATAAGATGAGTAACCGACCCACCTTATAAGTAGCCAAAGAACAAGGCTGTATAATTGGAAGGCAACATGAAGAGAAAACAGGTTTAGAAATCATTCCACTTCTCTTTGTCACTTCAGTTCACTTGTAATTGTAGGGTTTTTAAAAATATCTCATTTTTAGGTTTATATAAACTTTGAGTCATTGGACTCAGAAGTTCATGCATATCCAAAAATACACACACACACACACACACGCGCGCGCGCGCATGAAAGAGAGAGAGATTGAGAGATCTGATTAATGTTGAAGGTCAGGTGGCCCACTGTTTCTCTTGGCCGTTTTCCTTTTTAGGTTTTTGCATTCCTTTCCTCTTTTCCTGTTGTCTTTGTTCCTTATCTGCCTATGTCTTCCAGTGGCTCCCCAAAGAACTCTCGAATTGTTTGTTCAGCAGCTGTTTACTGAATTTTTGCAGTGTGGAGAGGCTTTGTTGTAGGGACTCTGGAAAGTCAAGTATGAATGAGTAGCCGTAGCCTGCAAGGAGCCTAAATCTAGTAACTGAAGTAGCAACAGAACCATTTAGTCACCCTATTTAGAAAATGCTCCAGATTCTAAGCCAAATATGAGTACAATTTGAAAATCCTACCTAAATGATGTCACATTTCCCTCAGAAGTTATCACTGAGGTAATGTTTTTTGCTTTAAAATAAGAAATAACCCATAATGCTACATATTTCAGGTATTTTTAGTTTAATGCCTTAACTCCCATGTGCATATATTTTACCTAGTTAACAACTGTAGTGACACTATTTCGTATTCTGTTTTAATTGTCGTAAGAATTTATATCCTCCCAGTTTCTATTTCTATTCTAAAAATAATTTCTTATTATTTTGAGATGGAGTCTCGCTCTGTTGCCTGTCTGGAGTGCAGTGGCGTGATCACAGCGCCTCCTGGGTTCAAGTGATTTTTCTGCCTCAGCCTCCTGAGTAGTTGCGACTAGAGGTGCGTGCCACTACACCCAGCTACTTTTTGGTTTCACCATGTTGGACAGAATGGTCTCGATCTCTTGACCTCATGATCCACCCAACCTCAGCCTCCCAAAGTGCTGGGATTACAGGCATGAGCCACCACGCCCAGCCTAATTTCCAATTATTTTTAAATGGCCACACGAGGCTGGGTGTGGTAGTGCACATCTATAATCCCAACATTTTGGGAGGCTTAAGCAGAAGGATTGCTTGAGACCAGAAGTTCAAGACCAGCCTGTACAACAGAGCGAGACCCAGTCTCTACAAAAAATTTTAAAATTAGCTGGGTGTGGTGGCTCATACCTGCAGTCCAAGCTACTCAGGAGGTGGAGGCAGGAGGATTGCTTGAGCCTAGGAGTTCAAGGCTCCAGTGACTTATGATTACACCACTGCACTCCAGCCTGGGTGACATAGCAAGACCCTGTCTTAAAAACACAAAAAGGCTCCATGATATTTTATTGTTGCTGTATAGGTTTATTTCAACATTCCTGTTGTTGGATTTTTCCATTTGCTTTTATGTCAGATGCTTTAGTGACATCTTTATATGTGGATCTTTGTTTCTTAAAATTATTCCACTGAGATAAAGTTTTAGAATTGAATCAAAGAATATGAACATTATTATAGCTCTCTCTACATGTTGCCAT